TGAGTGATTTTGATGTCGTCTCGATGAGACGAATCGTATGGTATAAAAGTCATTCGATTTGGATCAATATACCACGATTTTTTTTCATACGAGACTTTCTATTGAATTCGCAGACATGATATAAATAACATTGAAGAATATGATAGATATTTGAAAGTTTAAAAAAAAAAATTGTCTTTGTTTTTGTGTGATTCTCTTTATTATAAAAAAAATTTATATAATAAATATAAAAAAGAAAAAAAGTAAGAAATAAAAAAAAAAAAACCAAAACTATCTATTACTACTAATAATTTTTCTCAAGTTTTTTTTTTGTTCTTTTTTTGTCTGTTTGTTTTTTTTTTTTTTTGTTTTTTTACAATTATTTACAAAATTTTTTTTCTGGCATGGGATTTTCTAGAAGATGGGGTGGGATGGGATAGGATAAAAGATAAATGAAAAATAAGTGAAAGATGAGTGAAAAATGAAAGATGAGTGAAAGATGAGTGAAAAAAGGGGAATAGAGTGGGTAGGGATTAGAAAGATTAATTTACAATAAACAATAGATATTTCTTCAAAATCAAATTGCAATATTATAATTCTTTAAAGTGTCCAAACACAATTTTCCGGTATCAACGTGAAATTCCGAAAGACCAAACAAGCCATCATTTACCACTACATTTTTATCAAATTGGCTAGTTGTATCATAATAATAGGATCCGTTATTAATATCATTTCCTAACATCCAAATATTTTGATGCGATATTTCTGTTGAAATTTGTTGATTAACAAAGGAATCAGAAATGAATGGAGGTATGGGAGATAACATGACATCAAGGTTGTCTTCAAGCATACATTCATTACTTGGGATCGATCCAATTTCGGGGCTTTGGTAAGCATATTCTTCCCACTCAGGCAACGATAATAAATTTTCATCAGTGGTCAATAAAGTATCATTCGTATCGTTTATGTTACCAATCATATCGATATCAACAAATATATTATTATTAGGCGAAGTCAACGCATGTTTATCATTAATGGTATCGTTAACATTAATTGTATCAAGATTATTAACGATATCATTAGTAGTATTTGGCAATACATTTTCAGGAGTAGAGCCACGTCTGGTAGGAGATTGGACCTTTGAATTTTTGGTTAATTTTTTGGGCCTTTTAGGATCTTTACGGGAAGTCATGCTATTATTACTGAAAGTAATAGTATTCCAACGTTCATTCTTTCTGCGACGAGATATGGATGTTGATTTAATAATGGTATTACTATAGTTAAATGCTTCAATTGCAAGTCTTTTATATTCGGATTTCACGTTTTCAGGTTCTTTGTACCATTGTTTAGAGGCAATAGAAGATATAGAGGACATTGGTAAATTATGACCTTCAGCACGTACAGCTTCAATTAATGCTTTACGATAAATTATGAAAGCATTAGGAGTTCTGGTCGGAACATTTCCATCGGGAAGCATGGTTATTAAATCACGTGGATTGATTTTTGGAGGAAACGGAACATTTATAGCTATTTGATTGTCTAACGCCGAAGATTCAGAGTCAATTACAGAATCAATAACCAAATTATTAGGCTGAATTACTTTAGACATTTTTAATTTCAACATATAAAATTTTGATGAAACAATACTCTGCAACAAAAATTCGAAAAGTGGGAACACACCCATTTTTATAAGAGTTCTAGAAGGAGCCGAATGTTCCATAGATTCTTTTGTACGACATAAAATTCACATTTCTCGTCATTGTTTGCATATCGTAATACGGAATTAATGAAGAACACTCATACAGAAAAAAACAGAAATTATCAATGAAATGGAAAATCATGCTATTTTTGGGGAACACAAAACGTCAAAAAAAAACACTTGAGCATATATCACTAACGTATATAAATATCGAAAAATTTGCTTCTCTACAATGAATTCGTTCAATTTACTACTATTCATCCACGGATTACATAAAAATTTGTTCGTTAAATTACATAAAATTATTTGAAATTATTTGAAGTTATTTGAATTATTTGAAATTACATAAAAAAGTTATAAAAAATCATTATTCTATATAAAGAAATCGTATAAAATCATATAAATATGTGATTATTATTTAAAAAAATGGTATATAATAAATTATGTAATCATATGAAGAAAGCTTTACGGCACGAAAGTTGACATGTTTCTTTTAGAAATGAAACAAAAGTTTGAGCTTTTTAATGAGGGGGGTTCTTAAAGTTTTCATACCAGTTTTCTAAGATTTCAAGACGCAATTTGATGATAACTCCTTTAAACGGAAATAGGTAATACGAGAATACAAGCTCTAACTGGTTGGCTATTTCTATTTATACACATCTTGTTTATGTTTTGTGCATGTTTTGTCTAAAAATAAAATAATAAATTCCTTTTTCTCCTGGTATTTTCAGTACGAAAATACGTCAGTCCTATTTTTGTATTTATTGTGTTGTTGAAAAACGTGGAGTTATGATGTAAAGTTGTACAATTGTTATTTTATTGTTCATTTCTTTTTAATAATTAATAATGGGTTTATCAATTTGTTTGTTCATTCTGATAAGATAAACATGTGCTTACGTTTTATATTGTTCCCTTGTTGAAAATTTCATCAAATATATTTTCATACGTATGACAAATCTTCATGGATAATATTCCGGTGAGTATGCTTACACTATTGGTATGTGCATATGTGCTCACTCACCTGTATATGCCCTGATTTTATCCATGCCCCGGTCATGTACTGTATGCCATGTAGGGGTTTTGGGGCACGGAAAAACATTCTGCCTTTTGAGCTGAGGCATGCCCTTCATGCTCATAGGATGCCCAGGGACGATGATCACAGAAAACAGTGGAATTTTCTTCAAAACAGCTAACCGCAAAAATTATCTCCGGTCAGAATATCACAGCTTTAAAATAATAGAATTTTGAAATTTTTTCTCGCTAAATCAGGTTACACGTTTTGCATGTGATATTTGGCAATTATCTTGTGAAAATAATAAGGTAAATGCGGGTATTTTGACGACGTTAACATTTCTTACTAACAAAAGCCTGTCAAAAAAATTTAAACCTTTTTTTTTTTTTGAACTATGTAAATTTGAATCTACTCCTCTAACTTACCCTGTGGGTATTTTGACGAACGCAGTTAAGAATCATTTTACACTTAGAGCAAGACTTTACTAAGTAAATTTAACTTTATTCACAAAGTTGTTCGAAATGCCATCTTTTATTACCCTCAAATTTTTGCGCAATACGAATAACTTTTTATTAATAGGTTCTTTTGTTATACGTTATGCGCAAAAAATTGATTTGCTGTGCAAAGACGTTTAACGAAAAATCTTAATAGTTATTCGTATTGCACCAAAATTTGAAAATAAGTAAAAGATAAAATTTACTTAGTAAAGCTTTATTTACTTAGAAAAATGTCTAGTTTCTTGTAATATGTTCGATTCGTCATAATATTCACATTCGTCAAAATACCCGCATTTACCTTATTTTTTAAGCGCATTAAAACACAGGATTAACACTAAACTACCACAGAATTATACATAAACTAACTTTATTGTTACAAAATTTCGAAGAATATAAAAAAACAACATATCACATCACAGAATTTTACACAGAATCTAGTCTTAGTGCAGCAGAAAATCATGCCCTTTCAACTAACATATACAGCTCACTCTCGTTATAGTGAACTCTCATTATAGTGAACTCTCGATATAGTGAACTCTCGTTATAGTGAACTCTCGTTATAGTGAACTCTCGTTATCGATATAGTGATCTCTCGTTATAGTGATCTCTCGATATAGTGAAGATTCGATATAGTAAAGAATTTTGAATTACGGAATTATTAAACTTCAACTCGATATAGTGAAGTACATATAGTATTATCTTGATATAAGCCATAGTGAAGATTTATTTTTTTAGCCCGACAATATAACGAGAGTGAATTTAAGTTCGCAACTTTTAAAAACCTTTATTTTGATTTAGAATCTACATTTCTGTCTTTACCTAACCTTAAAACTACACTTTATATGCCACATGACAGAGGCATGCCAGGGTTGGTGATGGAGCTACAAATGGAGCCAATGGAGCTCTGAATGGAGCCAGTGGAGCTCTGAATGGAGCTAATGAATACTGATTTTTTGAGCTCCATTCGCACAATTAGGGATGGTAAAAAATCGCTTTTTAATGATTTTTATGTTATTTGAGTGCGTGAGAGTGAAAACCTGGAAACAGATCATAGTAAATCATTAAATCGGTTTCCAGATTTTCACTCTCACGCACTCATTTAATAAAATGTTTTAAAACATTGTTGATAATGGCGCTGATGGATGAAGCTAAAATTACTGTATATTGGGTAATTTCAACTTCAGTGTCGCCATGAATTTTTTATTCCTTAATCAAAATATGCCATCGGTTTGTGTTACAAAGATCAAAAAGTCAGAAGATTTGAATTTATAATCATGATCATAACTATATCATTATCATTAATCATGATATCAATATCGGTGACGATGTTTTAAAACATGTAAAAAATCACTTTAATTAAAGCAATATAAACTGATTTAAAACATTCTGTTTTAAATCATTTGCCATCCCTACGCACAACTAGAGGTCGGAACCTGTTGTAAATTTCAAGGCCCGGATTGATTTGCGTTTAATTTAAAACCGGTTATTATTTAAATTAAACCGGGTGGAATTTAAACCAAGTTGTATGATATGGTGTAATTGGTTGATCGACAAAAACTCCGATTGACCAAAATCATTTATCTTGTTCACGTGAAAATTTAAATTTTCCTTAAAGAATATAAAATACGGATCTAGATCCGAATTTTATTGTTATAGTCGAATTTCATTAACTTGTCCCAAACCTAATGAAATGCTTCATAAATATGTATTCGCTCATATGATATTTTTAATAAAGTGAATCAATTAAAATAATTTGTAGTAAAACGTTTAAACTTAAAGCAAATATTGTTACCGGCTAAACGGTCAGAACACACGCCACAAAAAAGAATAGTGCGACGAATTGTCGCAATGTCTAAGACGAGAGTCGAGCTATTATCATAACAAAAAAAAATTTTTTTTTAGGGCAAGACTTTTAAAGAGTGTTGGGTTTTTTATTTATATAAGACTTTTCTTTATTAATGACTAAATATGTGTAGGGCACGCCATATTTACAAGAGAAAATTGACCTCTTATTTATAACAAAACTACAAGGTAAGAAAGAATAAAATCGAAGATTTTTTTCCTTTTGTCATTATCCTGCCATTGAATCTAAGCCCGTTCACCTTTTCCGGTCTAACATTCTTCCCCTTACATTACAGCCTTCACTATTTGATCATTTTGCACATGAAAAAGAAGGCAAATTAAAAGAAAGTCCATACCATTATCGTATCTTGATTCCCCGCAACCACACATCATTTACCATGGCCACACTCTAAACCCGACAAGGTAATATTACCTTGACAGATGTCAACCTGAAATGGTAAGTTGCTTGATTCCAAGATCGTCGGCGTCATTTTCTCAATGGGGGCTTTGCGCAGTTTATTTTGCTGCAGGGATGGATCGTTATTCAATGTCTTGAGTCTGGGGCATCGTTGTACATGGTTTCGAGAAATTCTTCCAGGCCTTGGGTCAGTAACAATATTGAGAACGATTAAATAAACATAGGTGAAGTTCTTTGTGATTGGTTAAATCTTTATTCTTATCAGATAAAATATTAAATTTCTTTAGTTCTTTTATCTGTTTTATATATGCTCTTTAAAGTTAATCCGATATAAAGCTTTTTAATCTGCTTTAATCTTAAAAAATTTACTTTATTATACATACATATATATATACTGTATATAATTTTTGCTAAATCATTCTGTTTTATACATGCCATTAAAAGTTAATCCGATATAAAGCACTTAATCTTAAAAAATCTATTATTATAATTTTTATTACCAATCACAGAGATCATCTATACTTATTAAATATAAAACATGCGATTAGAATATTTATACGTATAGGCGCCACAGGGAAAAACCAGTCATTGAGTTTTCAAATTTACAAGTTATCATATCGACATATACAGTATAAAGCCTGGTAAGCAATAAACTTGAAAACCTTGAAGACGGGGTTCCCCGCATATTTGTTACAGTAGTACAGTAGTAGAATATATTAACTGTCGAAATTTTCATTAAAAATAGTTTATTACAGAATAAATTAATAACAATATTTTTAGAAATCATATTTACGTACTTTATTAGAACGAAAATTCAATACGTACAGTACGTAGTCGTTATGCCAATTTTTCTATATGTAGCAAAGGTATAATAAACTTCTAGAAGGGTTATAAAAGATTAAATTCAATTAATATATTAACGCATACTAAAGTTGATACAGATAATAAGAAACAATACCAATATGTACGCAATTTTTTAACAATTAATAAAAAAAAAAAAAAAAATAGCGGTAGACTTGTCTATAATTAAAATTCAATCCGCAAAAAAAATGAATATCCTGTTATTTTATGCACTAATAATTTTCGTTGATTCTCACTTTCCCGAAAAACTATTCCCCAACATCACACAGGATAGGGTTAG